AAAGGTCCCACCGGAGGCAAGGGGGGCCAAGCGGGGCACTTGGTGAGTGTATCAGGGAGCTTGATTTCTGCAAATCGGGTGGCGGCTAGGTACCAGATAGCTAGGCGGTGTGTTTTGCGGAACCCATGACTGCTAAAGGTACCCGTTAGTGTGATGGCGCTTGTATTCGCTTCCACTGTGGGAGGTTAGATTCAAGTTCGATTTTCGTCCTCGGAAACTACTCCAAACATTGCGTGACGTGCGCCTTTAAAAGTAAGGTCTGTATTGATGACGTTGCTTGCGAAGCGTATAAACGAGTTCTCTCTCGATTGGGGCACTGACTTCTTATAAAAAAAAATTCTGTATATGGTGCACTTATTTACTAACCCTCTGGCAGTACTCCACAGTAAAGGTTAGGAGAAAAAAAAACGTGCATTGACTAGTGTCGAAAGAAACAGAAAAAAAGTGTTTTAAACTACTTCCTCCTAAGCTCATAAGCAAAGGGAGAAATCACGTGGTCGTATTTCACTGGAACCCAAAGTTATCCCAGCACTCTGAGAGTCAGCAAGGGCAAAGCCCTTAATAAATTGCATGCTTCACATTTTGGCAAGTGCCAACAACTATAAAGTATAAAACGCATGTAAGCAATTTAGCGAGCAACAAGAAAAGTGATAGCGCCCCTTTTTGCTATCGCTCGATCAGCTGCACGACGAGACAAGCCTCATGAAAGCGACGGGAGCAAGCGACCGAGGCGATGAGCAAAGCTTTCTAGAAATCCAAAAACCGAGCAATGAGAGCTCTCTGTCACTCATTGCCCTCGCTCGCTAAATCGCATACATACAGTTCAGCTTGAATTGTATGAACGCGAGAGACACTTGCAACTCACTTCCAAATGCCTCTCATTTCAGGGCTACACTGCCATTTGCGTCAAAACAGAGGATTAAGGGGAGGCAAGCGACAAGGCAATGCAACCTCAAGGCAGAGCGGCTAGGCGAGTGACAGTCTCTCCCACAAATCCTCGTGCTTGGGGGATTTTGCAAAAGGGCTATTTATATCAAGTTCAAAATGAACAGCACTCTTCATTGATGGCTGGTTCACACGACGAACTGATCCACAGACGGATTGATCACGTCCGCGGTTCGTCCGTCTCCCAAGCGCATCCACACGAAGGAGCAGACGCGCAAATGACAGCCAGGACGAGCCGAACATGTTTGCGACCACACTGTGGCACTGTTGTCCAAGATGGAAATCGACATTTGCTGCTTTGAACAAGAACTGCGCGCCACTGTTACGTGCAGAGTGAGACATAACACCATGATAGGCTTCGTGCGAAGCGCCACTAGCCTTACTAAACTAAACCATGGCAGATACAGAAGCATGGTCCTGCTTGTGGAGACTTTGGCGAGGAGGCGGTGAAGTCCTGGGTCCGCTAAGTGGCATTTGGAGATGCCTTCACTCACTTTGCACTTGCGCCTTCAGTACACCACAGCCACAAAAAAAGGCTTGCTGGGTGAAATGTTGATTGGAGATTCAAAGTGATTGCGGCGTGGTAGACGAGTCTTTACAGAAGCTTTTCGACGCAGATGAGTACCAGATTCTGCGTCGTGTCAGTTGGGCAAAGTTCCTCATGCCAACCTTTTTGGTATGAGAAATGAAATGAAAGAATATTTTGTTACAATAGTTTAGGTCATTTTTCTTTAAAAGTCTTACTTGCAACTTTCAGGAAAGCACAAGCATTACAAACCAGCTGCCCTCACAATCATGACCCCCGCCCCCCCCCCTTTCTCTTTCTGGTAGTTGCTGTCGGTGAGCAACCTGATAGCCTTGGGCTTTTCCGCTTTTCTAATAGAATTTAGCGGTTCTTGTACATGTGCAAAAGTGAAATGTATGCTACTGCCATGTTTGTCAGTTTTGTAACTCTTTATTCCCTCAGACCGCAAATTTGTCTTCAGCTTGGTTCACATGCACAACACATTCATGGCATCTTCTATCCAAAAATATATATTGTGGGTTGGATGTGTGTTGGGGGGGGGGGGGGGGGCATTACTTTGCTGGTTGAGTTGGTAGGCAGGAGATTGCGAGAAACAAAAGGGTAGATAAAATACTACCGTCACTTTTACTATGAAAACCTTTTAATACAGGACTGGCGAAAAAATGAGAACATGAAAAGGTATGACGTCCCGTCCTCCTCTTACTCTTTATTTTCTGTAACCTAGTCTGGTAATTTAGGATCATATACTACTACATAAGATTCAACGACGTGGAAGGTGTTGGTGCACCTTAACCCATTTTGGACGAGCCTCGCTCCTCCACCTAGGGCCGTTCCTAAACCGTTTAGGATGAGTGTAACTCATCCGCGCACTATACCTCGCCCCTTGGCTCTTTTTGGACATCCCAGGCTTGTTCCGAGCATAGTTTGCAGTGCTGCTCAGAGATGGCAGCATGTATTTTTTTTATTGTACACATTTTTAAGGGTGGCGACTGATTGTGGAGACATGTGCAGCTTGGGCCGTACGTGCAATAAATATAGAAAAAACAACTTAGGATCAAAAACTGAAGAAAAAAAGAAACAGTTAAGGTAAACAGTGTGTGACATTATTATGCAGTTTCCTCGATCCTTCGACAATGTCTAATTGGATACGAGACACACTTTTATGACGTGCAGGCAACGTCAACAGAAATGTTTGGCGTGAAACGACACGCCTAAAATACAATATAAGATAGCTATACTGCTAGGACCCATTGTATGGTCCTGTAACCCTGCTAGATTTGTTTTGAGAATGGCGCGATAATTTCATGGATAAATCCACTTATATGTGAATCCCTCGGAGGGGCGGATCCAAGCAGAACTGGAGGCTGGCTTTGTAGCCAGCCTCCAGCGCGATGTCTCCTTGCACGCACTCACAGATTTGGCTATCTTGGCGTCTCGAGCTTCAGTTTTCTCGTTTACCTTCCACGTTTCGGGCATGCGGTTTGTGATGATTACGTCTACGACATTGCTCGCCTTGTCAAAGTGTTCGACATTGATTGCAGCAGCGATGAGCATGATTGCTATCAAGAGATGTTGAAAGCTGTTCATTTTGACTGCGACCCGCTGGCGACAAACTCCAGTGACGGCGAGTTACAAACGAACTCGTTGTGGTCACTGTCGCCCGGGAATATCTCGCAGGCGCACGCAGGGTGGAATGTCAACGGGCCGGCGGCAAGAGCGAGAAAAGCATTTGGGTTACCGAGTTGCGCGAGCGTTTTTGATCGTACTGCGGCGAGGAGAGCTTGGGCGATCATGGGGGCCCCTAGAATGAGAGAGCGTTCATGGTCACATGCTTTATGGGCACCATGATGTGACTAACTTGGGCAGTGTTGCCTGGTCGCCAGATGAAAATGATACAAATTCGTAAATTGAATAGTGCAATTACCAGAGCTCTAAAATTGCGTAACTTGGTGTAAATACTAAGTAGACTATGAGCAATCCATTTCAAGAATAATGGATCCGTTTAATTTTCGTGTCATAACCCCATTAAGTCACTGCAGACTCCGCTGTCCACTTATGGCCAATTCACATGATGAACTTATCCGAACATAAATTGATCAAGTGACAAGGCGTCCACGGAATATCAGTCCCCCAAGCACATCCATACGGAGGAGACGAGCAGATGACAGCGAGGACAAACTGAACCTATTCCCGGCCCTGCATTTCCGCAAAATGCCAACATCGCACTGTGGCACAGTTTTCCAAGGTCAGAAGTGATGTTTGCGACTACAATCACTGCTATTATGAAAAAGTATTGTGTGCTGCTGTTACATACCGAGCGAGACAAAGCATCATGACAGGCTTAGCGTGAAGCGCTACTAGCTTTACTAACCACATGACACAAGTATCGTCCTGCTCCAGGAAGCTTCAGCGTCTAAGTGATGAAGTCCTGGTGTTGCGGAGGGGCATTTGGAAATGCCTTCACGCACTGCTTGCTTGTGCACCACTCTTCAGCACACTACAGCCGTAAGAAAGGTCTTGGCTGGGTTGAAAACTGGGTGGACATGCAGGGAAGCTTGCAACTTGCTAGGCAAGTTTTCACTGAAGCTCCTTAACACCAACCCGGAGGAGTATCAGAGCCTGCGGCTTGTCGGCTGGGCAAAGTTCTTGCAGCTTCTTTCACGAGTGGAAAATAAGAATGGTTCGACAAAATGAAACAGCGAATGGACAAAGTACAGTGCACTATCTTTGTTTGGCTCATTCGAAAACCAAAAAATATTGCTCTGCTGTTGGTGCTCTACCGTAAACGCTTTTACTGTTACTCACCCGCTAAAAATCTGGGTATGGAAGGGCACTTTGCCCTTAAGTCTGGGCGTCTGCTGACGAGGTGCAAATCGGAGGAATAGCCGACATGATGGTAACGTGACAAACGGTCCACGGATGAAACTTGCGATTCAATCCATCGCGTCAATCTGCCATTATTTGACAATTGTCCTAATATGATTAATTGATCCCTATTAAAAAAAGAACAATTGTTCTCTGAAACAATGTAATGAAAGGAAGTTTTTATAAACAATGCCTGCTCCTTTGACAATGGAATAGTATGAGCCTTGGTATAACAGGAACTTTCTGTAGATCAGAAATACGTTTATTCCATGCTCAAAGTAAAGACATGAGTTTGTCTTGGTAATGCCTACCTCCTGCGTATGATCTGTAAAAAGTCCTTAATGACGTGGTCAAGGGAGAGGAGTTTCTGCTTTCAAGAACAGGATGGGGTGAAAGAAAAAGTGTCTCGATGAACAATGAATGCTCCAGCTAATCCACTCAGCCAAGTTTCTGCAACATGAACTATGCTCTAAGAGAAAGACGTAGGATAAGCACTTCGAAATCTTTAGGATTTGCCAAGGGATAAAATTAATTAGATGCACAAAAAAGTAGGGGGAGGAGGATGGCAAGAAAATTTTGGGGCTTGTGTTCTTACACTTGAATTGTTTGTGCAGGAACCATTACTGAAGCAGCACTTCATTCCTGAGGCAATAATTTATTGCTAGTCAAAGCCTGTTTCCAGAAAAGCCCATCAGGTGAGCGGCTTTTTTTTTTTTTTTGTCTTAAAAATGAGGTGCTTTTTAACGTTTCCCTCCAATCCCAAAATGTTGTCCATCCGTCCGTGCGCTTTGCCGCTAAATTTAGTGGGGACATTTTTGTTGCGTGACCTCTGCACAAGTTCAGTTTCCTCTCTAAATTTAGCAGAAAACTGATGTCACAGGACCTACAGACAATTTCAAGCTCTCTGATAAATTTAGCGGAAAAATGGATGTCACGTGAACTATGCAGCAATTCAGTTTTCCCTCTAAATTTAGCGGAAAAATTGATGTCATCTGACCTATGCACCAATTCAGTTCCCCAGCTAAATTTGGTGGGAAAATTGATTTCACATGATCTGACGTCATGTCACCTACAGACAACTTCAGGTTACCTGCTAGATTTAGCGGAAAAATTGATTTCACGGAACCGATACACCAATTCAGTTTCCCCACCAAATTTGGCAGAAAAATTTATATTGCGTGATCTGACGTCATGTGACCTAGAGACAAAGTAAGGTTCCCGCTAAATTTAGCAGAGCGATTTATGTTACGTGAACTTTGCACCAATTCAGCTTTCCCACTAAATTTGGCAGAAAAATTGATGTCGCGTGATCTGACGTCATGTGGCCTATACACATATTCAGTTTAAAATAAAATGAACAAAAACAAAACAAAACTACCTTTTAAATACTTTATTTCATGCGTTATAGCACTTTGAAGGTAAAAGTCACTTCCTATTTTAAATAATGTTTTTACTTTAAAGAAACAACTTTTCTCTAATTGTTTTGATTGAGCACCAGTGCCGTAAACTGCTAATAGCAGCCTTGAACAGTAAAGTTTGCACATCAGAAGTGTTGCTGATTCTTAACAGTATCTTTTGTCTCTTCCAACTCTTCAGTTTGAGGGGAATAAGTCATCGCTAGTCAATGCCTGATTCCACAGATGCATATCAGGTGAGCACCTCTTAATGAAACAACTTTGCTCTCTTTGTTCTAATTTAACACTAGTGTGGAAAATCTTGTTTTACTACGGTTCTTGAGTTGAAAACGGGTATAGTATTTCAGGTTAAAAAGTCACATTTGTGGGTTTTACGTGCCAAACCAACGACGGGCATCTGGCACGCCCCAGCGGAGGACTAAAGATTAATCTGGACCACCTGGGGATCTTTCGACGTGCGACCGAAAGCTCGATTACACGGCGCCTTCTCCGCAATAAGCCTCCGTCAGATTGCGGGCTCCTCGGCCGGGATTCGAACCCGCCACATGGGGATCCGTAGGCCAGCGCTCTCGCCTCGGAGCCACCGAGGCGGCTATTTCAGTTTAATGAAGTACTTTATAGGCACCATGTTTAAAGAAAAACTAAAAAATCCTTGAATTACAAAAAAAAAAATGTTAGAATGTGGACATCTTAAAAATGGTGTCTTAAGTTTTCTTTTGATCTTGTTAGCAGGAGTGTTATAATCATTCATTAAAATTTCAGCGTAGCCCTGCATGTTGCGGCATATCGTAGAAAGCAGAGCGCTAGAACGGTGAAAAGAAAAACTAGCAAAAGTGACGTCATTGGCAGGGTCCGATAACCCTTGTTCACCAATCGGCTGACTTGGGGATGCCAACAATGACGTCACGACGCTTTGGACAGATTACAGGTGGAAGAGAGACTCACTGCAAGCCCTGCTGCAATCTCTGCACATATTTTGGAAAAATAAATGCAGTTTACGTTGACTTTCGCCCAAGTTTAGTGCGATCGCTGAATTCATGGGACAAAATGCTATGGAAGTCCACCCTTAACTCAGATTTCTTAAAAAGTGCTTCAGCTTCTTTTTACTGCTACTTTGACTTAGTTGAACTAGCCGGTTCCAGTTTACATTAAGCCCAAGAAGCTAAGCTATTAATTTGAATGTGACATACAATAAACTCTCATTAATTCAAATTCCAGGAAGCCACAAATTTTGCATGAATTGTCAAAAGCTCGAGTTATCAGTTCATCAAATATGTTGGAAGATAAATTATGATTTGCCACATGGATGGCTGCACACACAAAACAGATATCTGATGATTTCCTCTACATAGGCCTACTAATAATAAGCAGGTATGCCACTCATGAAACATTGGTAAAATTTATGACACAAGTTTATTCAGCCCTCAAAAATGTTGTTTATCGGGGACTGTTTAGACAGCGCATGACACCTCAAAACAAAATTTTGTTCAACCAGCAAAAATGTTGTCTCTTATACAGGGTGATGCAAGGAAAGGCCTGGCTCTTTAAATCGACCGTAAAATTCGGTTTCTTAACCTATCGCGCTACGACTTTGTGCAGCTTTGCCCACAGATGGTCCATTCTTTTTTTGTAAATTTTGCAAAGAGCGAACTTACCTGTGGAAAAAGTGAAGAAAGAAAAAGGCTTAGCTCCTATGGAAACGCAGCGAAGCCACCGGTCTGCAAACAACACGGCGCCGTTTCGCACGGGAGACAAGAGATGGCGCAATGAACGCCGCCAACAAACGAGCATACGGCGCCGAGAGCGGGCGTCTTTTGCAGACAATCTTTTCGACTCAAAAGCGGTGCGCGTGCCGCAGGCGGCGACAGTCGCAGAAACAAAAACAGGCGCTGTAACAACAAGGAACTGCAGTTCCTTGTCTGCTAAAGACGCCGGCTCTCAGCGCCGTCTGCTGGTTGGTTGGCGGCAGTTGGCGTCGCGACAGCTTGCGCCATCTCTTGTTTCCCGTGCGAAACAGTACCATGTTTGAAGACCGGTGGCTTCGCTGTGTTTCCATAGGAGCTAAGCCTTTTTCTTTATTTACTTTTTTCTCGGGTAAGTTTGCTCTTTGCAAATTTTACAAAAAAAAAAAAAATGCACCATCTGTGGGCAACGCTGCACACAGTCGCAGCGCGATAGGTTAAGAAACCGAATTTTGCAATCGATTCAAAGAGCCTGGCCTCTCCTTGAATCACCCTGTACTTGTGTGAATGCTGTGACGTAAAGCCACGCCTCCACATCACAGCGTCCACGCAAGTTGCTGCTGAAACTGCAGTGCAGCACCCCTTTTTGTCGCTCATGTCTCCTCTGCTTCAGAGACGTATATAGGGAGAGTTTAACCATTCGTTGGAATGTATACGAGGCAAATAAGGAAGCACCATTGGCCGAAGGTGGGCCGGGCATGTTCCAGAGCATTTTCAGAACTGCAAATATGGTCAACCAGAAGCTGCGCATAATACCCTGGTGGTGGTTGCGAAAAGCAAAATTAATAAGTGCGTCGTGGGAGATCTGGCTCAATTCAATGTGCTTAATATCACTGAATAGTTGTGCGATTTTAATTGGCTGGTTTTATTTCTCAAGCACTTGATATGTTCGGTATTCAAATCAATGCAAATTTTTACTTTGGTTCAATTTATGGGGGGTTTATTTTATATGTCATGTTTAGTAGTAGCTAGGCTAGTTGGTAAGCACGTTGCTCACTTACTTTAACCGTGCATGTCATATACAATTTGTTGCGATTGTGTTTGAATGCAAATCCTTTTCTGCTCTTTATTTCAAGCTGCTCTTACATGCACCATGAAGATACCGAGGAGGTCTTCAATTGAATGACAACTTCAAGCACAAGCATGGAGGGGCATCTAAATGGCCAGCACAAGGACAACTCTAATGTAAATTTTCTCCAAAGTTAAAGCAAGGCAGGCCTTCTTCCAATTAAGGTATTGTGGCGAAACTTCTTAATTGGTTCGTTTGTTGAGCTGTCATCTATAGGAACAGCTGAGCTCACACAAACAAAATCCTGGCATTGAGAAGTACAGGTTGTGTGCTCTTTCTCTTTTGCAAAACATGAACTTTTTGGCTGAGGATGAAAGATTATTCAAGTTCATATATTAAATGACGGAGCTATGAACTCTCCATACCAATCTACCCCAAAAGCTTCATGTGACTTAGGCTTGCTTGAATATGGAAGCTTTTTCCACTAAATAATAAAGCACTTAACCTTTACGTCTTTTTGAACTGGACTCTCCGTAAAAACAAGGCATATAATTTTATAGAATGGCGAAATGTCTGTAGCCCACATTATGGACAGCTATCCATATGAAATGTGAAAGCTGTCCGCAGTAAATAACGAAGGACTATACCTTTCCGAATTACATAAGGCCAAAGCTACGAGTCATCCGCACCAGTCCTGCACCTCCGATACGTCAGGTGACACCCCTGGCAGATCTAGAGCTCTGCCAGGTGAGTCGCATGATGTATCGAAGGTGCAGGTGGTACGGATGGCACGAGGCTTTGGCCTTATAAGGCGGAAAGGTATAGTCCTTCGGTATTTAGTGCACATAGCTTTCACATTTCCTACGGATAGCTTTCCGTAATGTGGGCTACAGACGTTCCGTCGTTCTACGAAATTATATGCCTTGTTTTTACGGACGGTCCAGTTTATAGATTACGGCAAATCATACCGGCAATATTGAACCAGCAACTTTTATCCGTAAAATGGAAAACGGATAACTGTCTGTAAAGTGAGCTACGGACGTTTCGTCATTTTAGAAAATTATATGCCTTGTTTTTACAGACAGTCCCGTTTCTAGATTACGGCAAACCATACCGGCAATATTGAACCCGCAACTTTTGCCCGTAAAATGGGGTGAAAATTTTTTACAGTGTAGTTGATGTATCCGGGCCGAAAACCACGGTTGTCTTTTCTCAGGAACTCTGTACTTCTAGCAACACAACCGCTAGTTGACGGAGAAAAATCTTCTTCGACCAAACTATATGTTGGATAGCATATGCAAATGGTATGCGGGACGCCGAAAAACAAAGTCCTTATGCATTCGTCTCCTACCGCTGTTCCCCGTATGCCTCGTTGTTCTGTTCGCGACCGTTCAAACAAAAGCATTTCTCGCATGAAAGTAATAGACTTGGTCTGAACACAATACTTTAACTATTCGGGATGGCAAGATTATGATAAACAAAAGCAGTTTCAAAAATATTTGCGTCGCGCTTTTGAGACTTTATACGCATTACCTTATACTTTTATTCTTATTTGAAGGCTCTGTTCGGTGCTCTATTCTTGTTGCTGAACGGCGCCCACTTTCAATATAATTCGGGCCTCTTTCTGCACTCTTCGGATACTCCGAATGTGCAGCACCGGCCGAGATATATCCTGAGGCTCGCGCGAAATATTTTGTCCCTCCAATACCCTATTTCTTTGTATTTTTTTTTTCGAAGGTTTTGCTCTCTGTTTGCATATTCGCCCTCGTGATTTTGCCGTTTTTTTTTTGTTTTTTTTTTTCTCATGCGCCTAGATAAGTCCAAAGAAGCGAGAAGTGGCGCGGGTGTCTGGCCCTCAAATTTGTCTCTTTTGTTTCGCATGTTTAATACGACCATTATGTTTATTCAGCGAGAAAGAAACTTGGGTGTATCCGAAAGCATATCAATTTTTGTTTATATTAGAGATATCCTTGTGCGCATAAATTTTCTATATAGCGCTAGAGTGGAATAAAGAAGGCGCTCTTTCGCTGACTTGCGAGTTAGAAGCAAGACTCGCTTTGTTTGGTGTTTACATCCGTCTAGTTGGAGTTTCTTTATCGTAGAAGAATGGCGAAGCTTATTTTCTAGATTACGCCTGTGTCAAAAGCGTCATATGTGTGTACTTTGATAACTCGGCAATTGTGTGAGTGGTTTGATAACTCGGAAAATAAATGAAGATGTCAGACGTTTAGGGAGAAGTTCTTAAAGAGACATACTTATTAGAATTTAAGCAACAAGTTTTTTTTGATCACTATAAGAAAGGCAAAGTTCATGATAAGACTCTTTTTAATCTGTAAAGCCGGGGTCACACTGCTCATATGATACAAAAGGTAGTCTGCAAACACAAGTCACTGCAATATTCGTGGTTCGAATGCCGATTGCCCTGTTCCTTCTTGAACCCAATGGCATGCATCATTCGAAGCACGAATCTTACGGTGACTGGCGTTCGAATCTGTATGCCGACTGTCTTTTGTGTAATGTATAAGCAGTGTGACTCTGGAATCAAGGTGCCCTGAGGAGGTTTCTGAGATCACCTAAATAGGGCGATGACTCACCCTGCTGGCTCTAAGCATCCTAGAAATTCCTAAATCATGATGACACGTGGCCGATTTTCCTATCAAGAAAGCAATCAAAGATTGCAACACACCGAGGTCACCTACGGCGGTGGGAGGAGCATGTTTCGAAACCAAGACCACTGTCAGCCAATAGCGAGCGAAGGATCCTCACGCCTCCGACCGGTGGAACCGTGAAGTGATATCTCCAATGCGCGCTGCCCGTTGCCTATACAGCCCGGAATAATAATGCGTGGTTTTTGAGGCGATTATTGGAGTATTATGCTCTCTCTTCAAGAATAATTAACATTTTTTTGAGTACTCTTATTTGCTTTTTATCTACAAAAGCATACACATTTTCTAATAACAGCTCATGCAACCTCAAATAAATGTCGCGTTTTCATTTATCACATGTCGTCCTGGCTGCCGGAACTGTGCTCATTTCATCGCGGTGGATGACCTCGGTATGTGGCGATCTTTAATTTCTTTTTTAACCCATTAGGGACCGGTGTACTTTTAAAAGTACAGCTACAATATTATTTTTTGAAAACTCCAAAATAAATATTTCGATTTCAGTAGTTCTTTATTTTACCACCGGAGGGCGAACCTACACCCCAAATCAAGGATCAGCGTTCGGAGTGCTCAGGGGCGCATTTGTCTACGGTCAAATATAGACAAACTCCGCTCCCGCCAACCGCTGAGGTGAGTGCTTCCAAATTTTTTTCTCCTGGCTGAAGTATGCAATCATTCGCGACAGTTTTTTGCATACACCTGCGAGAAAGGTAGAAGTAAACGCTGAGTGCTGTGAATGCTACATACCTTTCATACTTTTTGTGGTATGCAAATCTAAACGTTGCTGTACTATATATAGTACGCTGGGCTTTCGTGTATGCACAATGGCGCTCGCTATTCCAGGCACCCACTATAATGGAACCGGGCGTTTTCTTCGGCACAAAACCGTTTTGTCGACTCAGCGAAGCCCTCGAGGCTGCAGCAGATATAGCAGAGAATGCTGAAGACGACGTGGATGTCGTCATAATTCCTCCGGACCCATCGTCAGATACCGACGAGGAAGAAGGAGACGAGGACTGTACGGCCTCTGCGCCCGTAAATGACGTTTCTGGTTAGAAATGTTTTCTTTCTTACTGAGACTGCAATTCGTAGGCGCTTTGGAAGTTATCAATGATTGATATTCGAGACCGCGGCGTCACCAGGATACAGGTCGTGCTTTTTGCCGCGGCTATTCTACAGTATCTAGTTGGGCCAAAGTGGGAGAACGGTGTAAATAAATGCGGGTTGGTGAACCGGTCAAAGTGGAAATGTTTTGTCCTGTGAATTTGTGTGTCAGCGTTCGCAGATGTTGCCGATTTTTTATTTTTTTTATTTTGACGCCCCTCGCATTGTATGCTTTCAACTTTGCTTCTAATATTTAGAAGTGGTGTTCATGCCGCGCTGCCACTGTTGATTTTCGCGCTTTCTGCAGCTGTCTTTGCTTTATAGCTCCTGTGAAATAGTCTTTGAAGCGTTACAGGTTCGTTACATCAAAGTCTGCTTTTTTGCAGGCACTCTGGAAGTTCACTGGCGTGCTAATGAAGAAGAAGCTGACAAGCGCGTCCCTCCGGTGAAGCGGGCAAAGGCCGCTGCCGTAAACTGGACCGAAAAGAACCTGAGTACACCTGGGGGAACTCCACTGACGGAGCAGTAGTGCGCAAGGCCGAGTTGAGAGCTCTGTATGAAGGTTATTCACCTAGTCAAATCTTCAGTACCATCTTTGATGATCACATACTTACACACATTATAGTACAGACTGGCAACTATGCGAAACAGAAAAACGAACATGGCTTTTCCCTCAGTTTGGATGATCTAAAAAGGTTCATCGGTATCCTTTTGCTGTCTGGTTACCACAGCCTTCCTCGACAGAAGCTTTACTGGTGCGTTGACGAAGATGTTGGAGTGCCATACGTAGCCAAGTGCATGAGCCGAAATAGGTTTTACGAGATAAAAAGATTCTTGCACCTAGCTGATAATGACTTGATCAAGGGATCAACTGATCGAATGTACAAATTACGTCCTCTCATGAACCTTCTGAATGAGCGATTTCAGCAGCATGGAATCTTTCACCGAAACCTTTCAGTAGATGAGTCTATGGTGAAATACTTTCGGCACCATCCTTGCAAACAATTCATGCGTGGCAAGCCCATTCGTTTTGGCTACAAGAATTGGATGATGTGCAGTGATGACGGGTATTGTTATGCTTTTGATACCTACTGCGGAAAATCTGCAAAAACAGATAACAACCCTCTAGGAAGTCGTGTCGTTTTTTCTCTGCTTGAGGCAACTTCAAACCCGAGTGACCATATTGTCTTTTTTTATAATTTTTTTACCAGTCACAGTCTCCTTGTTGCACTCCGTAATAAAGGATTTAGGGCTACAGGTACCCTTCGTGAGAACCGGCAAATGAAGTGCCCTCTTCAAAGTAAGAAAGAAATGGAAAAAAAAACAGAGAGCAC